AGAAGATATGGAGAGACTGTTAGCAAAACATGAGTTCTGTCCACAAAAACAGGACAGTGTGAGAAATGGCTTGACTCTTTTTATATATGAGAGGAAGAGAAGAGGAAACACTGTGAGGCCTTCAAGATATCATTATTATAACTTGCATCAATAAAATAGATTTCTAGAATTTTTTGTGGTGACTTGTTTCCTGGCCTGGCCTACTTGGAGGGCTGATACTAGTTCACCTTCCAGACACTTCTATGATGCCTCATGTGATTTGAACTTGTAGAAGTGTCCCTCTTCACTAGGGAAGTCAGAACATGGCAGGATTAACATGGCGTACAATTTTACTGTCTTCTCAGGTTAAGCTCTTAGGAAACTCTGAGCAAACAGAACATATGCACCATTTCCTTGTAGACCTTTCTCTGCACCCTTCTGGGCAGTTAACTGCAGCAGTACTCAGCTCAGTGTTTTCTTTGGTTCCTGCCCTGCCATGTCTTTCTCTTCCCTACCATATATTTCAATACCATACAGCAGATGGGGTGATATTGTATTTGCATGAGTCTGGACGGAGGGCAAAGATGTAGCTTTCATTGTTGCAATCATTGCACTTTATTTCTATTTTTGGCGGAATGGCTTGTAGGTGCATAGCATCAAAACCAAATATGATAATTCTTCAGCAGAGCTTTGCACTCCTCAAAGGATCTCTACCTGAATCTTCTGCACTTGTTCAGTGGACAAGCTTTCCTATGTAGTGGACATAGCCTGCCAGACTTCTATGTACCCTTGGGCTTAGGTTCCAGCTTACTTTCAGCCATTAATGTGATATGTGTGACCTGCATCTTTGGCAATGACACAGTTGCTTTAGATTTGTCTTCTGTGAATGCTCTCTCATTTTCTGACTTGAAGAGACTGAACCTGATTTAACAAAGTTAGTGGGTCATTTCTTCTCTTGGCAGTTTTTTTGGATAAGCTGGCTGAAAACATAAAAGAGTAGGTAGTCTGCTGGTGGTCTGCCTTGTAGTTCATGACCGCAGGCATCTACTTCGTTGGTACAGCTGTCTCTCAGTCATAAGACATTGTGTGCTGGAGATTTCAAGGTTATCAAGACCTATTAGGCATAAGTCCTCTCTGGTCACTAACACCTCAGTCAACTTATTGTGCAGGTCTGCTATCTTTAGGGAGTTATTCAGTCTCTGCATGAGAGTTATCTTTATCAGTTTAGATGCACTATCTTGAGGATCTAGTCTGAGCTTGATTCAGTGCAATGGTTTCTCTGGATTACTAATAAAATCTGCCTTGATCCCTGCTGCTTGTGTGTCTTATTTGCATCCTGGTCATTTTATCAGGAGGTTAAGGTGGATGTAGTGGAGATCAGTTTCATGCCCTCAGTTGCAGCATAGAAGCTTTCCTTTCAACTTGTGTAGCTCTTGGGGCAATTTTTGAACTTCACAATTCGCAATGTCACAAGCTCTCTCATAGCTAGTTGCATGACAAAATCAGACATGCACGTGGCAGGATCTGTGAAGTGCTGCATGTGGCTCAAGAGGTGTTAGGTGAGCTGTTTCCCAAAGGATGTTGTTGCCAAACTAATTTGCCAAATCTGCTAGGATGGGCCAGGATCTCTGATTGCTGTTCCTAGACTTGGGAGGTGCTGGAAGCTTTTTGCCTCGGGACATTCTCATCAAGGGCATCAGTGTGACCCATGCATATAGAATCACAGAGCAAGACATAACTATGCTACTTCCACTTTACCTAGCAACTCAAGAATGTCCTACAGTATTGCGGTCTTATCATGCTCAGCTCTTGCTGCAGTTTCAGCAGCTTGCTTCTCTTCTTTCAGTGTAGCTAGTTGTTCTTTTAGCTGTGCTTTCATTTCATTAGCTGAATGAAATAAAATCTAGAGGCACTGCTTCCAACTCTAGGGCCGCTACTTTTTTAGCAGGCTCAGGACATTTTTAAGTGGCTGCTGTCTCAGCTCTTGCTTGGACAGCAGCAGCGGCAGGAGCAGCGAAAGATTACTTGAATATGAGGATTTCCCAGAGTAGTGGGTGGATCTAGAAGATATTTGAGAATATGATGTTGAGCCATGGGAGAAGAGATAAAATTCCAGTGCTGATCTCTCTTCCTAATGCAGGTGGAATGACTGAAACCCCTGTGTGCTGCAACACTTGCTCATCTAAGGTTTCTTTGTTGATTGTACAGTGCTATTTTCCCCTTTTCCCGTTACTCATCATTCCTCACTCAGCATGCTCAGTTTTGTGCCTTTCTTCTCTATGATGCTCCAGAATTCTTGGTGGCATTAATGTCAAGCTCAGCCTTTTTAAGTTGGTCTAGACATGCAGCATTAACTTCATCCAGTTCTTTTTATTCGTTTCTTTCCTTATTTTATTCTGTATGTAATGTATGTTCAATTGTTGTAAATTATTTTTTTAATTGCTGATTTGTTTTGAAAGTTTTTTTAAAAATTATGCAATATCTAAATACGTCAAACAAATTGTGAATGTCTTTGTGGGATTTACTTGTAAATGTAACTATAGATGGATATGATTACGTGGTTCTCTCTGTACCTTCTGTGCTTAGATAAAGATATCTAACAGATTGCCTTGAGTTAAAAAAGCAACATACTGACTAATTTTAGAACACGGAAGTGAAGCAGAATGAGTATAAAGATATTTAAAGAAATGACATTATTGATGAGTGCAAATATATGAAGTATCATGAAAACAGGAAATATACAGAAACTGTGATGAATTAAGAACCAAAATATACCATTTTAATTTTCAGCAGAATTGTGGAAGTAAAGTTTTCAGTGAATATTACAACTGATCACTGTAAAGATGGTCTCCACAATCTGTCTAGGGATTATGCAAAAGTAAAATAACAACAACAAAACCTAGATTTGGGCGCTAGTAGTTTAATGTTTTTCACTCCTCAGAAATCAGTGTATATTGCAAGTTTACTCTTTGCTTCTGATTACTCAGCCACATAGAAATTTTTACCAAAAAATAGCGTGTTTACCAGAAATTTAAGATAAAGCTTAAAAAAAACTTACAATGAATTTTCTGAATAGTTCAGATATATCTTGTTATGGAAAATGTGAGAAAATAAGACCTACATAATAAATAAGGCAACTGTTTTTCCTTGCCTATATATTAGAGTGCTGCTGCTTGAAACAGACACAGTTCTTATTTGGCAATATAGTTTTGCAGCACTGAGCTCTTCAGTTTTCGTTGCTCAGTTCTTAAGACATGTACTATTTTTTTTCTTGTTTATTTGTGCCACTTGTTGGAATTACTCCCTAATATATTCTTGTTTTGCTTGTGTAGGTTTCAATAACCATTCCAGATAGTTGTCTTAAAGGCATCCTATTGACCACTCACATGCTATGTGCAGTAGATTTTAACTTGTTCTTATAACTTACTCTTGTTTTTATCAACAATTTTTATGTATAATCATTATTTATATTATATAGGATATTTTGTTCTGATTCTCTATTAACATTCCAGGTGGTTTCTTGATGAGACTGTCATTCCCTCTGATCCCTGTGCAACTGTCTTAATTGCTCAGAAATTCCATCAAAAATATTTTTTATACAATCTCTTATGAAACATGAAACCCACTGAAAGCACTGGTCAGCCTCCAGGGTTTGTCTTTCTTCTTTATTATAACCCGTTCCTATAAAGTCATTTCACAATTTTATATTCCAATGGGTTCCTTCCCTCTCTCTCCCTCTCGCTGTAATAAAGGTAATTGAATCCTAGTAGCTGTTATGTCATAATTTAGTATTAACACACTCCTCTTTTCAGAGGAAATCAAGCATCGTTATAAAGATCTCATTCGAGAAGTTAGGCGCATTTCTTGCCCTCGCCAAAAGACACCTCGTGGACCGCGCTCAGAGCACCCCGCGATCCGCTGCCCGTCGGAGAATTGTTCAAAAGAAAAGACAGCGAGGTGGGTTAAAACAAAGTCCATTCTCCCCCGGCAACCAAAGCCAACAGTCTCGTCGCCTCTTTGCTCCTTGACTGACACATACGCTCCCCCCAACCCGAATAACAGAACCGACGCGATTTTAGGGGAGATCCGAACTATCTACCACCACCGTACCCATCTGCGCGTTCTGATGGAATTAGGGACTGCGCCCTGCCAGCGAATCGAGAATCCGGCGGGGGGAGAAAAAGGGAGTCTTGTGGAAAAATTATCCCCACCTTCTTTCTCCGCCTCCTTTGGCTCTTACGCACTTACACCTCTTTCCCGTCGCAGTCACTAGAGAAAATAAACAGTTTCCTGACGCCTTTCCACAGTCTGGGCCAAACCATCCCGGGGGAGGGGCGTTTCTAGCGGTTTTTCTTTCTGTTTAGGTCCAGGGCGGGGGGGAAAGTTTGCGAAAGGCGACTCTCCTTCCGCCCCTTATTCTCGTTCACCCAGTCCAAAGGATTCGAGCGGATTGTGAGTTTTAGCGAACCATGTGGCGGGGGCTTTGAGGAAAACCACGCGTGCCACTGGCGCTTACCCGCCTCCTCCCGGAGCCCTAGGCGAGCGGAGCGCCCTGCATGTCTGCGTGTCTGTGTGAGGGGGGAAGGGAGACCAGCGCAGGCGCACCGCCCGCCCGTCTGCTCGCCTGCCTGCAGCCCGGGC